TGGCCCCCTCACCATAATTCTACCCAATCAAAACATGCCAATCTAGCCAGTCCGTTGATCCCGTAAAAAAGAGCCCGTGCATGCAGCGTTGCTCTTAGCACTACGGTGACTAGATGTAGCAAAAGAAGATTCTTTTACACCTTGATTTCCGCGTATTTTCTGCGTCGATCCGTAGTCATCTGCCCACGGTTTTCCCGAAACCATGTACTCCATCGGATATTCAGATGGATTAGTACAGAAGAGACAACAGAATCATAACATATAACAATATAGGAACAATTCCACACATGAACTGAGAATACAGTACGGAGTAGGAAGCAGCAGCCAGCAGTTGCTTCAAAACACCATAATATCGCAAACAGAACACAATGACTAGAACAATGGAAAATACGAGTACGAGGCAGCGCTTATTACCATCCCATCTTCTCGATCGCTCCCACGGCAAGGAGTAAACGCTACACAGTACTATGGAATGAACCACCCATATAGTCGAGCCACACTCTCAGTTAAACAGAGTACACGAAACAAGGTAAACGGGGGAGATCGAAGGGGCGCGCTTGCTTGCTTCCCTACACGAATGCGGCGGCCGCCGCCGCGGCGCCAGCGGTGCGGAGGATCTGGTAGTAGACCTGCGGGTTGGCCAGGAACGCCGAGCGGGAGATGAGGAAGCCGGCGGCACCAGGCGCCTTCATCATGGCGCCGGCAGCGGCGGGGGCGGCCGCAGCGGGCCAGAGGAAGTAGGCGCCCACGGCGCCCCCGATGACCATCGCCGCGGTCCCCACGGCGCCGTCGCGCGTCGACACCATGGCCGCTGTATGGTTCTTGACGTAGCTGAGACCTGCGACGATGTCGCCGGTGTTCATCCCGGTAAGCCTTGCGGGCAGGTACTGATTGGCCAATGAGACGGTGGAGGCCACGGTCGCTCCTGTATGGTTCTTGACGTAGCCGAGACCGGCGACGATGTCGCCGGTGTTCATCTCGGTTAGCTTTGCGGGGAGGTACGGCTTGGCCAGTGAGACGGTGGAGGCCACGGCGCTCGCCTGTTGCTTGACGAGGTCGAGACCGGAGAAGAGGAGGTCGCGTGTGTTCATCTCGCGTGGTTTTCCTTTCCGACTTGTGGTTATATGTGTGGAGTCTGGACTAACTTCACTAGATCGACGAGACGACGCAAAGCGTGGATTTATAACGATGAAGGTGATCTATACCTAGACGACGACCTTGACTACCAACAGTACTACTATCGACTTTACGTTGGAAAAATACAGCACTAATCATGTCACCAATGAAAAAGGATCAAAAGATGAGGAAAGAGGCGACAATATCATCCATCGCTGGTCCCAAGTCCCAACGTACCCACTCGCCGAAAGCACAGGATGCCCGGGCGTGGCGCGGAAGGCAGTCACCTCGACCAGGACGTTGTGTTTAAGATCTGTATAAGAGGGTGTTTGTTTCCAGAAACTTATTGGTCTAGGGACTTAAATAAGTCTCTATAAGAGGGTGCTTGGATACAAGGTACTATTTTTAGTCTGACTAAAAATAGTCTCTTTTAGAGGCTAAAGTTCCAAGCACCCTTGACTAAAGAGAGGCTAGGACTAGTCTTGAGGCTAAAATCTTTTAGTCATGGGAAACCTACTAAAATATGTATTAGCTCTCTCTCTCCTCATTTAATTCCTCTCCTTAGTTCTGGATTGGAGGATTTCGAGGATAATAAATGCTCAATAACTAGATTTTAGTCTCTTTAGTATTTGGATCCAAGCATGGGTGAGACTAGCAAGTTTTAGTCCCACTATTTTTAGTCATGGGACTAAAACGTATCCAAGTTTTAGTCTCATCTAAACCAAACAGGAAGGACTTATAGGGTTTTAAAATGGGCATTTGGGACTTATGAAATAAGACTCTTAAGGAGGGACTTATAGAGACTTATAGTTGTAATATGGTCTTATAGAGACTTATAAGTCCCGGGAACCAAACAGGTAGGAACTTTTTAGGGACTTGGGGCTTATAAGTTGGGACTAAAAAAAGTCCTAGGACTTATGAACCAAACAGACCAAAAAAACATCATTTTTTAAAAATTATTTTCCTTTTTATGGGGAAAAAGGAATTTTATTCCATATTGAGGGACTTACCATCGAGAGGCAAAATGTCATCAATACAAGGTGGTCCTGCGTGCTTCCACACAGCTGTGGCACACTCTATACGACTATATTTGTTTCACTCCCTTTTTTTATGATTTTACTGTTCATCGTGAGCTCAAATGAGCTCGCAAGCAGAATATATTGTTCATCTTTACGATATTTTCCATTTTTGTGTAACTCATTTCATCATCAGAAATTACACATGTGTAAATACATTCATATGAACACGTTGAATTTTTTTTGAATTTTTTGAAACTTCAGAATACTATTTTACACTGTTCAAAATATATGGCTCACCAGAGCTCATCTACCAAAGTGATTTTTTTGCCATTCCTACTTTTTTCGAATAAAGCTATTCTTACTCACTAAGGGCTCGTTCGGAAGTCCGCTGGCTTCTCCGAAAGCCAGCTTCTCGCGCGAGCTAGTGCTAGCTCGCTTCTCACGGGAGCCAGCGAGCGTTCGGCAGCGACTTGGTACACTGTAGCGAGAGAAAAACGATTCGATGGGGCATTAGCGATAGGAAAACGGTTCGCTGGGTGGGCTGTAGCACTTCGGGATGGCATGGAATGTAATATCCGGCAACTCCCGCTTCTCCAGAATCTAGGAGCTGGGGCGGGGCTGCTTCCAGAAATTGCACTGGAGCCGAGTCAGATTCCAGGAGCCAGATTCCAGGAGCCGGGTCGTTCGACTGGCTTCTTGCCAGCTTCTCGAGAAGTTGGATCGTGGAGGAGATCCGAATGGGCTCTAAGTTTGCACCACTTCATGTCTCCCAGCGTTCCTGCGTCAGGATCCGTACGTGCATTATGCATTTTGTACTTCAGATGTTGGAGTCTTCGTACGGGGCAAAAGCTAGTGACTAGATCGATCAAAAGGAGATTCTTCCACCTACTACCACGATACAACCACAAAACGAAGAATGGTTTAATAACTTTGCCACTAGTTGTATCGTGTCACATTTCAGTTGATACTGGTACCAGGGACGTAGCGGTAAAAACATATTTTCTCTGTCTAAAATTACTTGTTGCAGAAACGGATACGAATATTCGAGATGAAGTGTATAATAATATACAAGAGGAATCCAACTCAAAAAAACTACACAAGAGAAAAATGGTACCAAGGCCTTGGCCTGACCGTTCATTTATTAAAAGCAAAAACCTGAACAAGCACCAGTTTGGGCCTTTAGGGTAGTATGTCGGCACACACACACCCACACACCTCCCCGAATATTGATAATATCCTAATAGGAGCGAATCCGGATTGATAATGTATTATCAATTATATTGGCGGGGAAGACCCCAATTTAAAAATAAAAATAAATAGATGGATAAGAAGAGCAAGCTCAAACATGGCCACATGCATCCAAGAAGAAGGCAAAAATTTCAGTCAAGCCAACGGTGTGAGTCAAATAAGAAGACAACAGTGTGAGTTATGAGAGCTGAGAAGACAACAATATGAGTAACAAGAAGCTGCCAGTTTGTCGTCCGCTCTCGCGAAGGCATCCATATCCACACTCTAGCTGGACGCGTAAGATGGCTATGCCATTTGAATAAAGAGGAGAAGGCTCCCGAGGGCCTCCCTCACAGCTATAAAAGGAGAAACTTGCCTCAGAGAGCCAAAAACACGCACAGAAAAGACGGGGTCCAGAGCTTCAAGCAAAAAGAGCAGCCTCAAGAACACTTTCAGTTTGCTTAGTAGTAGTACCAACACCATTTGTAGAATAGCCACTATATCGAGGATGATGTAATCGTCAAGAATAATAAGGTATCCTTTTTAGCTTGTGTAATCCCTTCGAGGCCTCCCGAAAGGAAGAACCACATGTATATTATGTTGTGGAAAGGATGTACTTTCATGCTTCATTTGGGTTTTTTATTTATGAATTTACGGGACATGTCATTATGCTAAGGATCCTATAAAAAACATTGGCTGGTAGTTCTCCGTTTAGTCTTGTGTGGCGTTTGAATGAGAACCTTGTGGTCGTAGAGAAGTGTTTCCTTCTGGTAGAAATTTCTGCGAAGACGATAGGAATTTATCCCATAAGCTTGCATTTAAAAACATGAAGTGAACGAATCTAGCTACATCAGAAAAACAACATAATGAAAAATATGATGAGTACTGAGTAGGATATCACATCAGTGCGCACACTGTCGGTTGTACTATTGGCCTCGCCAACCCTTAATAGATCAAGAATTAAAAAATAACCAGCTTGCTAAAAAATAGAACGTGCAAACTATAATTAGGCTAATAAGTGATTAGGCTAATATTCTATTTGAATAGTATTGACTATTCATTATAATACTCCCTTCGTTTTTATTTACTCCGCATATTAGAATGATTGAAGTCAAACTTTTGTAAAGTTTGACCAAATATATAGAAAATAATATAAATATTTACCATAAAAAATCTATATGATGTGGAAGTACATTCAACAATGAATCTAATGGTATTGATTTGTTATTGTATATATTAATATTTTTGTCTATAAACTTTGTCAAAGTTTGCAAAGCTTGACTTTGACCAAAGCTAATATGCGGAATAAATAAAAACGGAGGAAGTATTCAATTCTTTGCTACTGTTTGCTATTTGAATATATTCACTATTCACTATAATATTTAATTCTTTGCTACTGTTTACACGTTCTATTCTTTATTAAGCTAGTTAATTTTCATTGTAGGATCTATCAAGGGATAATGGTGAGGCCAACAATACAACTGGTGGTGTGCGAAGTGATGTGATTTCTTACTCGGTTCTCACCATATTTTTCATTTTTTTCAGATGTAGCTAGGTTCGTTCACTTGATGTTTTTCAATGCAAACTTATGGGGTAAATTTCTATTGTCTTCTCACGCAGTTCCACCCGAAGGGAACACTTCTCTGCAACCACAAGGTTCTCATTCAAACGCGACAGAAGGCTAAACAGAGAACTACCGACGGAGGTTTCTTTTAAAGGATCCCTAACATAAGAATTCGTTCCATAAATTCATAAATAAAAACACCAAGTGAAGCATGAAACTACATCATTTCCACAACACAATTTTCATATGGTTTTCCCTTTTGGAAGGCCCCGAAGGGATTAGAAAAAAGGATACCTTATTATCAGGCGATGATAGCACTTTCGATATGGTGGCTATTCTACAAGTGGTGGTGTTACTACTAGTAAGGAAAGTGAGAGTAGTATGGAGGCTGCTCTTCTTGCTCGTAACTCTGGACTCCGCCTCTTCTGTGTGTGTTCTCCACAGCGTTGAGTCCTCCTTCTTTTATAGTGTAGGAGGGATGCTAGATGCTCCCTTCTTTATTCTTCCGCGTCATACTTGGAGACTGAAGTACACCATAGCTTGATGCCTTATGCATTGCTGAAGTGCCCCAAAGTTTGCACAATCATGCCTTGCATGACTCCCATGCTAGACTAATGTTTATGTGCACACCGAGAACTTTGTCTAGACTGAGAACTTTGTCTGGACCGAGGACTTTGTTATGGCTGAAATCCTGGCTTCTCGTTGCATGATAAGATATATTTATCTTATTTTATTTTTATTTTTTATTGAGAGTCTTCCCCGCCAATATATTTGATAATACATTATCAATATTCAGATTCGCTCCTATTGGGATATTATCAATATTCGGGGAGGTCTTTCGTGCCCGAGTAATTGATTGCAAAATAAATTCAGGTATATGGACTTCTATTCAACAGGCTGCCCATGCCCAGCTATCTCCATGTGATCGTCATCAGACAAATGGAAATCATATTTTTTATCACATTATTTCTTTATTTCTTCAATTTTTCATCTATTTCTTGTCTTAATTCTTTTAAGATTTCCTCTTTCAATTCTTTCTTTATTATTTTTTGACAATTATTCAACTCTTTTATCCATTTCTTGATCTATGTATTCAATATCTAGAGGGTTAATTCCCTTTAGAATTCATTCTTGATATGTATGATATTTTGGGGATTCTTCCTTC